CCAACAAGAAGGGGGACAAGACGGGAGACAAAAGGAAACAGAAGGGAGACAAGGCGGACACAATGACCCACAAGAAGGGAGACAAGACCGGAGACACAGGGAGACAAGCATGAAGACAAAGCGGACACAATGACCAACAAGAAGGGGGGGCAACACGGGACAAGAAGGGAGACAAAAGGAAACAGAACGAAGACGAGACGGCCATGAGACAAAAATTTGCGAGCCTGCTTGAGAGCCTGAACTCGCAGTAAATCCCACGGAGTGAATTGCATGTTTGATAGACGGAGTCGTACATCCATCTAGAATACAATGACACATTCATGCATACAGGTTGAAGGACTTGAAACATGTCACAGCAGTGAACTAACTTTACTGCAGCGGCTTGTCCCAAGAGAGCGAGGCAAAATAATGCCAACTGTGTTTGGCTGACAGAATACAACCCTCCAGTTTCCGAATGCCAGTTTCATATAGCCCTGGAGTTTCAGAACGCCACCCCCGCAGTTCGGAGACCTGATCGCCCTAGAAAACATCGGGTGTTTTATATTTTGACAGATGCCTGAAAGTTCCACCCCCTCAAGCCCGCTTCCACTTGCCCAGGTGCTCAAGTCCAATACCTACGCGACCAAACGCCAGTAGAGTTGGGGTGTTCGCGCCAACGTATACCATCATGTCCCAAGGTGCATCTCCCGTTTTTCTTCGCTGTAATTCGGCTAGGGCCTGCGATTCTGCGATGGCTGCTGGAGAGCTCTCATCCATTAGGTGCCCTTGTTGTGCGCCGGCCGACGACACCAATGGGTGTCATGGCATCAAAGACGAAAAAACCCAACCTAACCTTGCAGTTTCTGAATATCAGTTTCCCAACACAACCGTCGAGTTTCCGAATGCAACCGTCCAGTTTCCGAATGCACCCGTCCCCGTTTCCGAACATAACCTCCAGTTTCCGAATTAGCGCCGGTTTCTGAACACAACCGTCGAGTTGCCGAATGCTGTCAAGTTTCCGAATACTGATCGGCTCAAGCGCGTTTCTCATTGCCACATGTACCAGCAGCTTGGTCCAGACCAGCCACTGTGTTCCTAATGAATTTTTAGTGCTCAGACATTGCAGCCCGGAAAACGTTATTTGTGTCCGTTCGACGGCTTCAGACCACAGCGCGCGGCGCAGCCATGTTGTCCTGCAAATACGTGCCGGAATGTTTCTCCCAACTTGTGGTCGTGATTTTGCACCTGAAACTGCAGACGAAACCACCACTTGTTGCGCACGAACCCAATGTTTCCGATCCTTTCGACCTGGATTAGCACCTTGCATAGATGGTTTACGACCTGCCCTCCAGTGCCGTGCAAAGACTTCGGCACTTCCGCTTCTGGCGGGCTAGGCGCAGAAAGAACACAAAATTAATTCCATGAAGAGAATCCAAATCAAGCCAAGCCTTGCGGTGTTTTGGCGGCCTAAATTCGTTCATGGCCACGGGCATCCCCAGTCTTGCTGCCACACAACGTGCGAGTCAATGCTATGCCGGGTGAACCAGTGTGGGCACCTAGGATCCAAGAACACTGAACCTCTGCTGTATGTAGCGGCAGGAAACGGACATTTTAACTCTTGCCATGCGTCATGCGTCAACGTTGGCCCCCACCCAAAGAGACAGGCTGAGCATTGAGTACCGATTGGCTTTCAATGAGTGGAGCGGTGCCATTTTCATGCATTTATTGTGCGGTGCAACTCTGAAGCAAAGCACGGACATACTGGTGGTAATGGTAATGGTATGGTTACAATGCACTAAGGTACAGGTTTGAACTGCCAAACTGGGAATATGGACACAGTTGCATGCTTCCTTGGTTCTGTCCCATTTGTTTCCCGGAGGTTGTCGGTTGTTCATTCCTGGAAACTGTGAATGCACCACAGTTGCAACAGCAGTGTACGAATTTGTGAACTCTTGGTGTGCCAGAACACTGGCTCACCGACAGATGCTCGAAGTGGCGGCAGCAGCAACAGGTGTCAACACATGTGTTTTGAATCGCATGTAGGCACACCTACCTGGAGAGTGGCATTTTTGATGTGTACAATTACAAGGGTGTTAGGTGGACAGTATTGTGTTTTGCATTGGGGTTCTTCACAGCCGACGCTGCTGGGCCTAGACCTCTCAATTGCGGCGAAAACTGTTGTTAGCACCAGGTTGGCACAAGCTTGAGCCTGTGCAAACAAAGTTCATCCAATCATCACCTTGCGAAAACCTGACTCAAGTTCTGCTTGACGTGCACCATGGACCATAATTAACGCGAATC